AGCTCACAGCAACCTCCAACTCCTGGGCTCAAGTGAGTCTCCTGCCTCAGCCTCCCGAGGAGCTGGGACCACAGGCGCCTGCCACAACACCAGGCTATTTTTTGGTTGCAGCCATCATTGTTTTGGGGGGCTTGGCCTGGATTTGAACCCGCCACCTTAGGTGTATGTGGCTGGGGCCTTAGCCACTTGAGCCACAGGCGCCGAGCCATTTTTGTTGTTGTTGTTGTCCCTGTCATTGTTTGTCAGGCCCAGGACAGGTTTGAACCCGCCACCCCTGGTGCAAGGGCTGGCGCTGAGCTATAGGCACCGAGCCTTTAAAATTGTTTTCTTTCAGCTCAGCGCCTGGCTGGCGTCTTAGCCACTTGAGCCACAGGCGCTGAGCTGATGAACTTTTTTCTATTTAAAAATTTTTAATTTGGGCAGTGCCTGTGGCTCAGCAAGAAGAGTGGCGGCCCCATATACCAAGGTGGCAGGTTCAAACCTGGCCCGGGCTAAACTGCAACAGAAATAGCCAGGTGTAGTGGTGGGTGCCTGTAGTCCCAGCTACTCAGGAGCCTGAGGCAAGAGAATCGCCTAAGCCTAAGAGATAGAGGTTGCTGTGAGCTGTGACACTACAGCACTCTACCAAGGGCGACAAAGTAAGACTCTGTCTCAAAACATAAATAAATAAAATAAATAAATAAATAAAAATTTTAATTTTTTGGCTTGGTGCTGATAGCTCAGTGGCTAGGGTGCCAGTCACGTGCACTGGAACTGGCAAATTCAAACCTGGCCCAGGCCTGCTAAACAACAATGACAACTACAACAAAAAAATAGCCAAGCATTGTGGTGGGCACCTATAATCCCAGCTACTTGGGAGGCTGAGGCGAGAGAATTGCTTAAGCCCAGGAGTTTGAGGTTGCTGTGAGCTGTGATAACATGGCACTCTACCGAGGACGACAAAGACTCTATCTCAAAAAAAAAAAAATACAAAAGAAAGAACTAGGCCTACTGTACTGACACACACCACATGTGGTGCATACCAGTCTATGAAAATTAGGTCAACTTAAGGTGGTCAACCATGGAGGTTCTACTGTCATCAAGAAGCACTTTGGGGGTGGCGCCTGTGGCTCAGTGAGTAGGGTGTCGGCCATATACTGAGGGTGGTGGGTTCAAATCCGACCCCGGCCAAACTGAAACAAAAAAATAGCCAGGCATTGTTGCAGGTGCCTGTAGTCCCAGCTACTCGGGAGACTGAGGTAAGAGAATCATCTAAGCCCAAGAGCTGGAGGTTGCTGTGAGCTGTGATGCCACAGCACTCTACTGAGGGTGACAAAGTGAGATTCTGTCTCAAAAAAAAAAAAGAAGCACTTTGAATCAAGATAAGTAAAAAGGGCTCAGCGCCTATAGCTCAA